CACACACACACACACACACACACACACACATACACACACAAATCTTATCATTGAGGAGGAGAAATAATGGAGTATGATTCAGAGAAATTTGTTTCACTTATTTAGGGGTCAATTTTAAAAAATCACAAAATCACAACAACAACAAAGACAAAAAACTCTCCATTCTGAGCAATATCAGTCAATCGTGCTTAATTTTTTAGGACTAGGGTTCCAAAGACAACAAAAAACCCATTGTCTAAGTATTAGTATCTTTACAAACAAAAGATCTGGCTGCCTGGTGTTGACGCTTCCTTAATCTATAAGAACATGGGCTCAGACAACAGCATTTTTTAAATAATCCCGGAGGACCCACAGAGCATGGCCAGTGATTTTAGACTGGGGTAATTCCTGGCTAGCTGACCCTGGGATGAGTAGGATGTCAAAACTGTCTGAAGACCTGGTTTGTTTGACTTCTGCTGGTCCTTTAGCTAGTGGGTCTCTAGAAAAGCAGCTCACTCGGTAAGGATATATTTGTTTAGAAAATGGTGGGATTAAAATATATGTTAGATTTTGATGGACTCTTTCAGGTTCTTTTGTAGCTATGTATTGTTAACACTCTTTCCCTTTCCAGGTCCGTGACCCCTCTCATGCTCTGTAACACACTAGTGTTCTACCTCAGTTCTGTTTCTCTCTTTCCCTCATAGTCTCCATCCATTTCCCATTCACCCTCTTAGTCCCTTCTTCATTCCCTCTTGTGCTGTTCCTTGTCCTTCTGTCTGATGTGATTAACCTTCCCTTTATTAAGGTAGACCAGTGCCTCTTCTACATCAGATCTCTTCTTCAGCATGCTTCCTAGTTAGTTAAAACATAAATTGCCCCAATTATTGCCTATATGCTTTATTTAGTTCATTTATTACTTATTTGACTTGCTTCTTAAATTAGAACATGGTTAAATTGATCTTCACATTCCTCATTCCTAGTGCACTTAATGGCTTACAGAAAGCAATACGTAAATGGTATTGAATCACTATATATTTCACCTCTTAGTATACAGTATCTTGATTTTTTTTTCACTTCTTTTTAGAGCACCATGATTTTCTAAGTCATTCTGTCTGAACACAACAGTTATGCAATACCTGTTTATGTATGTTGAATCCCAATGATCACCCAGTATTTCATCTGTTTCCTCCAATGTGGTATCTAGTCTGTCCATCTCTGATGTCCCCCTTCTTGTTCAGCCCGTATTGTCTCCTTACATGTTGCAGTATTTGAATTTCTCTACCCTAATGTCTCTACCTATGACATAGCCTCCAGTTTGTCTCTTTCTAAAGCAGCTGTGTTTGCTACATTAACTTTCTGCCCAGAAACTCTTACTTCAAGTTCAACTCAGCCTCCACGACACCATCAAAGTTTACTCACTTTTCGTCCAACCAGTTTTTCCTGGTTTTATCCAGCTGGGTATTTGTAAAGTTACCAAATGGGAATTTGTAATTTTCTTTTTCTCAATTATGTTCCACTTTTCTTTTCATCTTACTTCTTTTGCTATTGTATTATTTATCCAAAATACGTCTGTAGATCTAGGCTCTGTCTGCCGAGATCCAATGCACCTGTCTCCTCTATTTGACAAGCAAAAGTTATCACTCCCTCATGAGTTCAGAGATACCGTTATATTCCATTCATGTCTTCCTTATATCAAAATATAATCTTTTTCTTGTTTTATCATCTTTAATAAATAAGAGGTAAGCTCCTTAGGCCTAACACTGTTATGTTTTATTCATTTTTCTGCCATCTGTATCATTTTGCATACCTTTATAAGAATCCATTTTTGTTTCATAATAGATGAGTAACTGGTAGGCATTTTTATGTGGCTATTTGCTGCTTTATGATCTCTACATTATTGTCTTTCTCCCTACGGTTCTGATAAAGGTTCGCTGTATCACTTTTCTCAATTCTTGTTTTGCCTATATTTCTTTTACATGAGCATGAGAAGGAACTGGGTTCCAAACCCATCTGCACTGTGCAGCAAGACAAAAGAATGTAGAATTATGTTTAAATCTCTATTTAACAAGAATAGGGTAACTGATCACATAATTCAATCTACGGAAGCAGAATGGCAAATAACATGCTAACTTTGTTGAAAGACTTTATTATCTTAGAAAATTATGCCAAAATTATTTTGTTAACTATGTATTGACACTGAAATTTTGGTGGTGACAGACATGCATAGGATGAAAAGTGTACTTTTTTTCTGAGTTGTACTGAGTTTCATGTGTTGTTCACGATGAATGCCAATCTAATAAGCAGCATTCAAGTGCACACAAACTAAATTATCCAAGTTCACTAGTGCATTTTTACCTAGTAACTAAATTATCCAAGTTCACCAGTGAATTTTAACCTAGTAACTAAATTATCCAACTTCACCAGTGCATTTTTACCTAGTAACTAAATTATCCAAGTTCACCAGTGAATTTTTACCTAGTAACTAAATTATCCAACTTCACCAGTGAATTTTAACCTAGTAACTAAATTATCCATGTTCACCAGTGCATTTTTACCTAGTAACTAAATTATCCAAGTTCACCAGTGCATTTTTACCTAGTAACTAAATTATCCAAGTTCACCAGTGCATTTTTACCTAGTAACTAACTAATTGTCGTAGTTTAGTTTCTGCTGCTGTGATGTAAAGGAATGAATGAGTTAAATAAACAACAAATACATAAATAAAGCTGACCAAAATCAACTTGGAGAGCAAAGGGTTTATTACTCCTTACAATTAGACTCCATTATCAAGGGAAGCCAGTGCGGGAGCTCAAGCAGAAACCTGAAAGCAGGACCCAAAGCAGAGGCTATAGGGGTAAAGTATTCACCTGCTTACTCCACACAACTTCTTCTGCTTGCTTTCTTATAGAGCCCAGGACCACCAGCCAGGGGGTGGCACAGCCCAGGTGGCTTGTTCCATCCCACATCAGTAAACATCAAGGAAATGCCTGATAGCCTTGCCCTCAGGCCAGTCTAATGAAGGCAGTTCCTCAGTTAAGATGCCTTCTTCCCAGGTGTGTCTCTAAGTTTGACAACAATTAACTAGCGAGTAATTAGTACATCTTCTACTAACTCTGAGCATGAGCTCAGAACGTAGGGTGCACATAGGCACTGACTTCTTTTGTAGAGTGTGAAATGGTCTTCGATTGTGAAATCGCTACAAGATGAAGAGTGAAACAAAATGGGAGAAAAATGGTGAAAGAGGATGATGTCTCAGAGACAGAGAAATGCTTAGTTAGATTCCGAAAGAGGGAATCAGTATAAGAAAGTAGCATTCCTAACCAGGCGATTTCATCAGTGGTATTTTCTGCCATTGATGCCTAGGAATCACTCATTCATATATTCTACATAGTTTCTTACTTCCTCCTTCTGGATACAAATGAATACTTTGTGGCAGCATATGGTTCAAGTTGACTCTGGCAAGTAAAAAAATGTCTTGTTATCCAGCAGTAGTGAAATCACGATTCTCTTGAGGTGGTTGGAGTTAATCTAAGCTGATATTATTTGGTCAGATAAACCAATGTCAGACAAACATTGATCCAAATAGAAAGAATGACCCATTCTTGGTATGGTTCGCCCAGTGGTGGGAGCATTAGCATAGGGTTAGATATACAATGGCATGTATGATTAAAAGGCCACCTCTTCCTCTCGGTCTCTCTATGGATTTAAAACAGTACACAAAACAAATCTGATCCAGCAGGCCAACTGAAGTCGGAAGATTGCCTGCTAACATTTGAAACCTAAGCATTAGCTTCTAGCAGAGTTTAATTTGCATGTGTACATGGGGAATTTTTAGTTTTGAAATTTTAAAATACTCGCCACTTGGGATTGTTTCCCATCCCACACTGGAGCCATTGAACTGGATTCCCAATTTGGGCTTGCCATCTGTGTTGCGTCCTCATTATTTTTATAGGACTGGGATTCTGATCTCAAATATAAAAATGGATAAGAACACACAAATGGGCTTTTTACATTTGCTTTCCTTTTATCCCTGATGATTTCCAGTTAGCAATAGTATTGACCATCCTAAGTGAGTTAAGAGAAACCAGCAAGACCTTGAACTTGGCCTCAGCTTCTTTAGTTATGTCTAATCAATGTCTTCACATTTTGCTGTGTTCTCGTTTCTGTACTATATGGGGTTCACCATGGCCCTGGCTTTCATAGAGTAATTATTTTGATTAAGTTAGACAATTAAAGTCAGTCTTGCGTGAGGAATGGATACCGCTGGGAGTCAGTGATGGATGGACTTCCGGTCTTCTGAGTGTTCAGTCCTGCCAGGGTTTTTCAGTTGAGTGACAACTCACCTTCTAGTTTGGTTTGTATGACAGTGCATGGGTGGTTAGGCCTGAGTATTTTCTAGAAAATAAGTTACAAAGAGATCAAGAAGGAGAGGAGGTGGTTGGTGTTAATATCCACATGTGTTCTTGTAATTTTTCTAAATTTTTATTTGCTTTGATGAACAACATCATTACTGGAATAATTAGTGTTAATTAATATCTGTGTCATTTTGGTAAATGGTAGTTTAGTGTTCCAATTAGACTAATTAGTACACACCATGGCTTAGTGACATGACAAATCGCTGAGCAGAGCACACTGACTCTTGTCCCTTCTGATATACGAGCTAATCTGCTTGGTCAGTAGTGGCAAAGGAAGGGGATGGGAAACCGGACAGCGACAACTGTCAGGCATTGTTTCTACATTTTCTGCTGGTTTTCTCTTTTCTGATAAGTCCATGAGTACTAAGGATTGCTTTCATTTCATGTTTTAGCTCCTTTTTTACTGTTGAATCAGTCTCCAGAACCTACCAGCATGAAATTATGAACAGGAAAAACATTAAAACCCAAAGATTCTCTTGACAAAACACTAAAAGCCAAAGATTCTCTTGATAGCCACTGGATTGGATATACTGTGTTCTGCTCAGTACTTCTCTCTCCAGAAGGAATTTACAGTCGAGCTGACAGCTGTCTGTATTTATTTTGCAGAGCCTATGCGGACCCCGAAGACTTTGAAGATTGCTGAAATCCAGGCAAGGCGCATTGCTGTGGACTGGGAGTCCTTGGGTTACAACATCACTCGCTGCCACACTTTCAACGTCACGATCTGCTACCACTACTTCCGTGGCCACAATGAGAGCAGGGCAGACTGCTTGGACATGGACCCTAAAGCCCCTCAGCATGTTGTGAACCATTTGCCACCTTATACAAATGTCAGCCTCAAGATGATCCTCACCAATCCAGAGGGCAGGAAGGAGAGTGAGGAGACGATCATTCAGACTGATGAAGATGGTATGCTCCTGTTTGGTGTCTAAAATACTGTCTTTTCTTTAAATTTACCCCCCTCCCCATTGTCCAGTAGTTAATTAAAAAATCTACTAGGTTATCCCAGCCAGATTACCTATAACAGACTTTCTGTTTTCAGAAAGTAATACAGTTACTAAATGGCATGCACCCATGATGACTTTTTAAATAATGATAGTAGAAGTGGCAAGGGTGCCTCAAGCCTAAATAAAGACTTTCTTACCAAATGTGAAAGCAAAAATGTTATTATCCACATCACTATATAGTTACCTATTGGTAAAATTCACTTTCTTATAACTCGTGTTTGAATTTTATAAATCAAACAAGATGGTATTGTTTTTCCAGTATTTGAAGATAAAATACTTGATTTGATTGAATTAAAACACAAAAGACACAGGACATTTTTTAGTCCAAATAAAGATCCTCATAAGAAAATAGCAGACCTTAATCTTTTATAAATTTTTATTGTAAGAAATGATACTTATGAAGCATTAAGTAATAAGAATGCATATTTGTATTAACATTATAATATGGATGGCTTTTCTCTAATAGTATGGTACGTCATTCATAGGAATATGAATTTCTTCATTGAGTGGAAAAAATATACAAAAGCTCCAAATCTATTACTTTACAAACAACTATATATTTTAGGGTGACACTTTATTCTTTTGGTGTTCTTTTATAAATAAATGTATGTTGGTAGAAACTGCTACGTAATGATCTCAGGCCAATCTTAGCAGAACTTGGGGTTTACCAATCATTTCCATAATCAGTAAATTTCTCTGTTTCTCTAGTTATATGCTCAAGTAAAGGAGCCAAGTCGTGAGGTCTCTGTGGTTCTATTCCTTCTTAATATTTTCTTCAACAGCTTGATAAGAGGCCTGTATTTTTATTTGAGTTTTAGAGTAAAGCGTGTAGTTTAGGATCAGACTCCCCCACACACCTCCCTTCATGTAGTCACTTGGCTACTGTGTATCTTCTGATGCCTAACAAATAGGAATGAGATGGCCATAAAGTAAGTAAGTGTGCTATAATTTCTAGAAATACTCATTTCAGCTCTTCTCCTGTGAAACTTGAAAGTGACTCTGGTTGATCCGTTGCTTTGCTGTCCTAGAGAAGTGAAAGCCTTGCACAGCTTAGACTGCTAACATGATGTCTGTGGTCTGCCTCTTATTACTAAAAGTCGGGAGTCAAACCCCTGAGACTTAAGAGGAATCTGTTATTGTCTTGTTTGAGTTAACCAAAGGGTCTTATTGCAGTTACTACATTGTTTCCTTACATCATTGAAACCAATGTGGCAACACTATTTAAAGAACTTTCACCTCCATCTCCAGTGTCACCCCCACCCTCCCATACATGCAACACTTACCTGTGCAGAAGAGAAGAGGTAACGGTAATGGAGTCAGGCATCAACAATATCAACGAAAGTCCAAAACTAGCTACACAAATATCAGGAGGAATCGCACATCTTCTGAAGTGCGGTGAGGGTTTCAGTGTCTGTGTCATGCTAAGCATTTTATAACTCATGTTTTTAATAATAAGACTATAGTCACATTTATTTGGATTGCTGTCAGCGTTTATGGCCAGGATGTCTTGATTGATAACATTTAAATCCAGCTACATGAGTTTGATATTTTTGTTTGTTTTTATCTAGTCGCCCTCCAACAATGCGATTTCCTATGGTGTTATCCTTTGATATTGTTTATCTTGCTTTTCTTTCCCAAAAACAAAAAAGGCAGTCAGGTTTTTATAATGTTTTTTTTAATTGCAATATATTTTTAAACAACATTTGATTACATAAATAGCTATGTTAATACTCAGATAATGAAATTTCTGTGGAATTTTGACCTAAACCAATCAAACTCATAACGACAGGGTTCATATAGAATCAGTTCTATAAATTAGAAATAACATTTTTACATTAGTTTTCAAGTCCGCTTTTATTTTAGCTTCTCTGTTGAATGCTTTTTTGTATAAGCTTCAGTTATATGAAGTTGCACGTATTTTGTTTCATAGTATGACTCCAGAGTAATCCCTGTGGTTGTATCCCATATGGTAGGCTATTTCCTTTCCTGGTTGGTTTTCTCTTCTATAAGTCATTCTTAAAGACTGACTTAGGAACTTCCATGGAGTATTTGTACGTCATTCTTCAGCCCTGCTCATATGAGCTTGAGTTTCTACACAGAATACTTGATGTATTTCGATATTCTGAGGTGAGGAAGAATAACTAAATGATGGTTATTGTTGCAAAGATCAATGGATCATGATGATCTGGTTAAGTCAGTCTTACTAAATTATTGCTGCCCTATATACATAGAAAAAGAATAAATTATCAACCACCTAATAAAAAGATATTGTGTGAAAAGAATTCTGGGGACATCCATAAATCAAGCTCCCAAAGCTAGAACCATTTCCAACTAGAACTTTAGGGTAGAATTTAGGCTTAATTTATTACATGTGCTTTTTAATGCATGGGCAGAATTGTTTTGTATAAGGTTCCATTTTCATTTTTTATTCCAGCATTCATGGAAATCAATATTATGAAGTTAACTCAGCAGAAAAGCCTGGTTTGGGGACATTTTTTAAAGCTACAAAGTCATTTTAAAATGTAGATTTATTATGTTTTAGAGGCTATAATACTTATTTAATATAATCTTTCTCCACACCTCTTTCATTTTTCTTTTCCGTTTTTGAAGTTCTATTTGAAGGACTTTCTCATGCTCCAAACAAAATTAGCTGGAACGGCTCTCCAATAAATCACAAGCACAGGAATGGGAGTCAGCATTCTATCTCCACTGAAAGTCGGCGGTGTGGAAATGTAACGTGAATCCCCACAGTCTGAAGCTGGGCATGAAATGGCTTTAAGCACTTCATGCTGGGTTTAGGCAAATCATCACTGAACTAAGACATTGTCTTTGTGTGTAGAGACATCATTCCTGCTCAGGTGCAGAGCATAAATGAACAGAGTTGGTCTGTGCCCATAGCTCGTCCACATTTCCTTTATGTGTTTGTTTTAGGAGTATTCATTAATCTAAGTCATGATCACTTGTGTGGCCTATCTTGGGCGTGATTTTTCTCCTACCTTTCCAATCTTGAAAAATGGAACTTGTAAATACTTCAAGCAGAGTTATATCAATGTAGAACATGTATGAGAAGGGGGTGATCTTATCAACGTTTCAGGGAAACAATTTACTACTTCTGCCCATCTTTCAATGCAGAATTAAGGAAATATTTTGAATCATGCGTAAATAAGAATAATTTGAAATATATTCATTCTATTTCATAGTACTTGTAAGACAAATTATGGTAGGTAGACACAGGAATTTTCATAACAAGTGCTCAGTATTTGGTATTTTGACTCTTCCTACTCATATCTGCCACTTTTCCTGACAAACGTGTGAAGAAATATACTTTCCTTGATTGCAGTCATAAACAGAATCAATATATGCCCAGATATCCACTTGCACAATGAACCCATGTCTCTAGTAGCCTTGGCATTGCCAGAAACTGCACAGAATCCTTGTCAGGCTTACTGCCCTGCTGAGCACAGTAGCCCGTGCTGACAACATGAGACATGGGTAAGGGATGGTTAACTGACGGGGCCATGAACGTGTCCAAAGTAAAGGGCTACCATGCTATCTGTAATATGGATTTCTTTTTCATTTATTCTTCTGGATTTCTTTCTTTTATGCGTCACCTTGTGTTGCCTGCCTCAGAGGTCATAGCATCATTCATATTCTCCTTGTAGAATGAAATAAATCTTCATCTGGTGGCGTATCATTCAGAATTTCTTGCTGCTGCTAGCCACGAAGAAATACATTTCCTGTGATCCAGTGATTTTTAATTTATTTCAATCCTCATGAAATTGCTCTGTACTTTGAAACGGCATTTCTAGATAATGTCATGTGTGAAGTTCACTGAAACATTGGATTCAGGGAAAATATTAATTAAAAACCGTACTTACCCAATACCGGGTTGGTATTTTTTTTTTTTTGAAAAAACGAAGTTTTTAAGTCAAGAGTGTGAGGTAATATGTATTGTTAAGCATGATTAGAAGAAGAATCTGGATTGTGTGAATAAACGGCCAGGTTTTAAAGTAAGATCTATAAAAAGAGAACTACACAGTAGCAGAAATATCTTGTAGCTTGTCAATAGTAACAAATACATGGCTGATTAATGACAGGATTTTGCAACTTATGAGGCCTTCGCAAATAAGGACTGGAGCAATGTCACTTAGGAGTTGTAATTCTTGCCTAACATGCAGGAAGTTCTGAATTAAGTACCCAACACACATGTGGCATAAGACGGAGCGTGGAGGCACATGGCTGTCATCTCAGCATTCTGGAGGTGGAGGCAAAAGGATCATAGGTTCAGGGCCATCCTGGGAGACACAAAGAGTTCAGAGTGAGAGTATACATTAGATCCTGTCCAAAACAAACAAACAAAAAACAGTAACAACAACAAAAAATGAATAAAAATGAAAGGAAGGAAGGAAGAGAGAAAGAATATGGTGAGGTATTGAGATAGCTCAGTGGGAGAGCGCTGGCTTGCATTTGCCAGGCCCTGAGCCCCATCCTCAGCTCTGCCAAATGAAGAAAGCAAATCAAGAGATCCTTGAGTCCTAAACCAGCTTGTTCTTAATAAGCTCTTCCTTAGCTGAGAAAAAGTAAAAGCGTGAAGCAGGTACATTTTAGCGTATTCATCTCTAACAACTTTAAAAAAAATATAATAATCAGTGCTATCTTTTTAATTATAGAAAATTTAATAAGTATAGCTACAAAAGTCAGGATGATTTTTAATGGGCATTTCAAGTCAGTGCTGTGTGATTTGGCTTTTGAGTCTAAGGAGCGTTAATTATGATTATAATTCATTATTTTATGAACTTCGTTGATGGAGCCTCTTTAGGGGATTATCATAATCTTCAAGAAATCTTTCAGGGATGTGCATCTCTGTTCTCGGAGCAAATTACAAATAAGAACTTCATGTTATTAGCCGTATACAAGAGAGAAAAACAGACTACATGACTATGCCACTCTCCAAGGTGATTGAATATTCATTAGAATAACAATAACTTTACATTTCTACATTTCCTGCTTTAGAAACTTACAGGCTGACAATTGGTGTCAAATCTGAATACCGTTCATGTGCTGATGTTATTTTTAAAGATATATTTTTGTTCCAGGACATCTACTTTAAATTGTGTTTATCTTGTTAATTGCAAGTGTTCTTATTTCCAATATCTGTTATTTCTAGTGCCCGGGCCTGTGCCAGTCAAATCCCTCCAAGGAACTTCCTTTGAAAACAAGATCTTCTTGAACTGGAAAGAGCCACTGGAACCAAACGGCATCATCACTCAGTATGAGGTATGAGGAGAAGGTGTACATACAAAGAGGCCAAGGAGACGGCTGAGTGGAAATAATAGGAAAGGAAAGGGGGGCGGGGAGAATATTAACGCATCATCACCTCTCTTTGTTCTAGTTCACAAATTATTTGATTTTAAAATTAATCAGTGTATAGTAGCAAATTCTTGGAATATATGATAGTTTTGTGGCTCCATATGTGTGTAACTGGACTGTGTCCTTGTCAAAGCCAATTAATGTTTGTAATGAATAATTACATGTAAAAATGCTAAGTCCCTTTTTCTAAAATTAAGAAACCAATATCACACTGTGCTTAAGGAGAGGCCATTGAATGGCCTGTTTTTCAAAGTAAGTAATTAATAGCCCCCCAAAGCAAAACAGATTAAAAACCCATTTCAGAATTTCATTGTACCTTTGAATATAAATCACTATATTTTCAAATAAGAAGGTACAGAGAATAAATGAATTTTTAAATATGTTTTAATTGAAAAACAATTTTCTCCCTTTCCTCCATCACTTTCAAATGGATATTCTTAATTGCACACTTGTGAAGTTTTTGGCTATATAGTTAGTCTGTGCTGATTATAGAATAAATATTTGTATATCTTATGCCTAAGAATGAATTATAGGAATTAGAATGAATGTTTTTGACTATTTTAGTATGTTTGAGCACTAGTGTCCTTTAATTTGTTTTGAGACATGGTTTTACTAAATTAATACAAAATGGCCATGAAATCACTCTGTAACTCAGGCTGACCTTGAACTTGTATTCGTCTTCCAAGTAGCTCAGATCACAAGCCTGTGCTGCTAATGTTACTAGAATTTTCTGTGTTCCTTAGACCAAAAAGTGGAGAAGAATAATATACTTTTGATGAAGACCTTCTGTTTTCACATACATTAAATTATGTAATAAGAAATTTTGTATGTAGTATGCATATTTAAGTATATCAATTTATTGATAGATTTTTAAAGATACAAGCATTTGACAAATTAGATATACAGCTACACATATCATTAGGTAGATCATAGATGATAGAGAGGTAGTGAGATAGCTTAAATGACAAATGACAGACAGACAGATGATAGATAGGTGGATGAAAAATACCAGAAATAGCAGTGCCAAGCTAAAATAAATAGAGATAGATGATAGATAGATAGAGAGAGGGATAGATAGATAGATAGATAGATAGATAGATAGATAGATAGATGAGAGATGCGAAAAATACCCATGCCAAAATAAAAGAAAAAGAAGAGGAAAGTAATGAGGACTTGAGGCTCTTGAGTGCTATGTTGTTTAGAAAGGGCTTGCTTACACTTTATTATGGCCTTCAGTTGATATATAATGGGAAATATATTTTCCACACTAGGTGAGCTATAGCAGCATACGATCATTTGACCCCGCAGTTCCAGTGGCTGGACCTCCACAGACTGTATCAAATTTATGGAATAGTACACACCATGTATTTATGCATCTCCACCCTGGAACTACCTACCAGTTTTTCATAAGAGCCAGCACTGTCAAAGGCTTTGGGCCTGCCACAGCCATCAATGTGACCACAAACATCTCAGGTAAGCAAATGAGTAACATAGAAGCTGAGCAGTTCATGCTCCTGATTTGCAATAGCATATTCTAGACCCTCAAATAGGTGCTGTGTTATCGTGTAGCCTACTGAGTCATCACATCACTACGTGAGGTCAAGGGCAGTTTATTCAACCATTTGAGAACAAATCATTCCTGGTGATACGTTCTAATCCAAACACTTTTCAGGCAGTCACAAAAATGACAGTAGTCTTAAATGGTTACATCATTTCTTTACTTCAAATCTTTCCCAGTTCACTGTAAATGATTATGGACCTTTCTTGTGATCTCAATGAGGTGCTAAGTATGGCATCAGTTGTATGCTACAATGGGTGGTGTCTAACAAGTCCTGGTATATTTCACTCTCATATTGGAATACCTCACACCTTGCCTGCCCCCTTTTCTTTAACATTATGCTAATTTTAAACAAATGCCAACCTTCCTTTCCTCCTCACACAAACATCTCACACAAATGCCTCTAATTTTCAAAATTAGAACACGCAAGAAACTCTTGAATTGATAAATATAACTAAATTTCACTTTCTACTACATTTACTTTTATAATTTGCATTTGACTTGATCGTTTACGAGTAATAATTCTCCTTCAGTCAAATCGCCCATTCAACCTGATTAGGTTCCTGCTGATGTTAGCATCACGATGCTCCCTAAGTCTACTCCAGTTAATAAAATAGTTCATCATATTTAACACTATAAAAATATGAGCCGTTTGTAACTATAGAGTTAAATTTGAAAATGGTCTTTTGAAGGTAAACCACATAATATATTAAACACATTTTTATTTGGTGAATCCTTGTCAATTCTATTTAGTATATAACAGCAGCCATTCTCAATTCACATTGCATTTTTTAAAAATTTTCTTTATTTGTTTTATATACCAACCATAGTTCCTCCTCCCTCCCCTTCCCACTGTATGTCAAGTTGAGGCAGGACCAAGCCACTCCTCCCTGTATCAAGGCTGAGCATGGTATCCTACCATAGGGAAGGGGTTCTAAAAACCCAGGTCATGCACCAGGGATACATCCCTGTCACACTGACAGGGACCCCACCAAAGACCAAACCATGCAATTGTAACCCACATTCAGAGGGCTTAGTTTGATCCCATGTAGGCTCCCCAGCTGTCAGTCCAGAGTCTATGAGCTCCCACTAGCTTGGGTCAGCTGTTTCTGTGAGTTTCCCCATCATGATCTTGACATACACACCCTTGCCCATATAATCCCTCCTCTCTCTCTTTGACTGGACTTCAAGAGCTCAGAAGACTCCTAGCAATAGTTGAAAGGGTGCCTGAGCTGGCCTTCTGCTGTAATCAGGCTTGTGACTACACTAATTGTCATCTTAGAACCTTCATCCAGTAATTGATGGAAGCAGGTGCAAAGATCCACATTATATATTTTTAACATTGTCCTGAATCAAAAATTTATACCAAGAGTAAGATATATGTATATAAATTGTTTTATTTGGAAATGTATTAAATAAAATATAACTTTTAAAAATTCATATCATGAATAAGAGTAATTCCAATATATTCATTTGCATATGATTTGATTTATATTAATATTCTGGTAAAATTGATGTTTTAACATCATCCATTATATTAAGAAATGATAGTATATTAAACTGTCATTTTATATCCTAATGAAATTCATTGATTTAAAATATTTATTAAATCACTTTGTTAGAAAATAAGACTTAGTGAATGTCATGACAAACTTCTTCCCTTTTGGAATTAGCAACAATTGAAATTTTCAATAGAAATTGTTGTAAAATCTACATAATCTTTTAAATTAGACACTGAGCAAATATGTTTTCTGATATGAATATATATGTACACACATATATATATACACAGAGAGACACATACACGTACATACAGTTTGAAGTCTTAGATACCCTGTTCAACATGATGTCGAACAGAAAATTTCTAATTATAGACAGAAACACCCTTCTGACTTTCTTTTCCCTCTGAATTATTTGATTTCAATTTTCCCATTGCAACTAGAAAGCAATAAGCATTTTCTTGTATTTTATAAGCTTAGCTTCTGCTGCTGTGCTTTGGGAGCATCTGGTTACTGTGATGCTGTATAAATTTTGAGATACTGTATGCCTCTCTACCCCTTTTGTCTAGTCATTGTTTTTTTCAGCATTGAAAGCATTAATTTAAAGGACCAGGGTGATGGTTCTGCAGTTGACAGCACTAGCTATTCTTACCATGGATGTGGTTTTTGATTCCCAGCACCCACAGGGCATTCCGTAACTATCTAACTCCAATTTCTGGAATCTGATGCCATCTCCTGATGTCCCAGGCACCAGGAATGCATGTGGTGCACAAACAAACATCCAGGCAAAACACCTATGCAAACAAAATAACAGAATAATTAGAATTTGTATAAAAGTGTGCCAATGTTTTGTAAGCTTAAAAGTTTGCATCTTTTGATTATGTGAAAGTTTACTGTGTGTATATTTTCGGTTTATACTACTTGGCTTCATAAAAGGTTAATTCTTAATCTTGATTCTGTGTCAGTGACTGTGTTTTGTCTTCATGGCTCTATCACAGCTCATAAAACTTTGCATATGTTTTTAATGAGTGGATGAAGATTTTTTTTGTTACATATTACCTGACTTGTCAAGGTTAAATGATAATCTACTTGTTTCAATGGGTCTCATTCCCTTATACATCCATCCATATAGTAAAAACCAGTTGAAATTTCTTTAAGCCCAAGGTTGGGAAACTTGTAGAACACAAACACTATCCAACATGTTGAAAATTTATGTTTTTAACTATTTGCCAATTAATGTACCAGTTCTTAGTAACTGGAAAGTAATCTCCTTTCCAATGCACCACAGCTGATTACCATGTTTCTCTTGTGCTCACATGGAACTAGTCCAGAAAAGAATACTGGGCCTTTCTTTTGCCTGCCAAGCATGAACAGCTAGGGCCAGTAGGCAGCCCATTACCTCCCTTCTGCCATGCACAGTCCCAGTCTCATGTGTGACTGTCCAGCCAGTGCTGACTCTCCTTGTCCCACTGTCCCACGTCGTGCTCACCAGCGTAAAGAGCTTGGGAAGCTGAAACCCATGGGTCTTCACAAAGTGTTCAGAATACAATGAGTACAAGTCCCCAGACAGCTTTTAAAAATCCAGCAACCTTGCCTTCCTAGCTTCTTCTGCCCACAGTTAAGGTTCAGTGTCATAAAATAAGGATCACTGAAGTTAATTAGGAATTAAATTGATTTTTCCTTAAGGTAGGATCATTTATTCATAGCAGCCTATCATATATCACCACGAATCGATTGAACTTTCTTTTCACCTCGTTGGGTCTCTTTTCAGCTCCGACTTTACCTGACTATGAAGGAGTTGATGCCTCTCTGAACGAAACTGCCACCACGATCACAGTATTACTGCGACCAGCACAAGCCAAAGGTGCCCCAATCAGGTAAGCGGGGGCATAGATAAGAGGAAAGGCAGCCGGTGGGAGAAATGTCTCCAGCCGTTGCCTAGCACACCTAAAAGCCTTTCCTTTCACAGTGAATGTCAGGGATGCTTTGATTTTCTTCTTTTGTTTTTGTTTATTCCTTCTTGATTTGAAGGAAGTTATAAACAGATGTATGGCTAAAAGCGGGAATTCTAACGGCTTTTCTGGGCTGTGTGAGGCTATTGCTCTTTCTCTTCATTTTCCTTTATCCCCATCTCACCTCACTTCCTGTGTTGGTGTCTGTGCTGGAAAGGCCTTGACAGTGTTTGTCGAAGAGGATAAGGAAGGCGCGCCTGTCCACCTCCGTGTGTCTATAATGGATAATTTCATGTGAGTGACTGAATCAGTAGGAAGCTCTGAGGAAATAAACACGGAGGAGTGATAGCAAATGAAGCCTCCGTGGCCTTTCACTTCTTAAATTATCGGAAATTCCATGATAAATATTAAAGTTCAGCCTGCTAGTTCCTTTATCTTTTTAATATTAAAATCTTTCATATTACCTCTCATATTACTTCTAATATTTTAAAAAAATCTGATCCATGTTAATTTTAGAAATTGGGTCAAATTACCTCAGCCTTTTAAAATTTGAAGGACTGTAATTACATGAATCTTCAAGACTTCAACAAGCTTCTGAAATCAACAGATATGTGGGCATTTTGTTTTCAGTATTGATAAGAAAATCAGATAGTCACAAAATCAAGATCCAACAGACAGCAGAACTGACTTATATCATGCTCCTTGTGAATTCCCTTAAAGGCAGGTCAATCTCTTTCTGTATGTAAAACAAGCACACTTGACCTCATGAAACCAATGTCTTTTTCCATAAAAGTTGTACAAATACTTTTTTTGTAATTAAAAAATATGTTGATAGAAGAACACGAGTCACAAAGAAAGCTTGTAATTCCCATCTGGCTGAGACTGAGCAGACGCATTGCCACATTGTGGAGCAAGAGAGGTGGCTAAGGAGGCTGTAACATGCATGCTTCGGAGAGAGCAGCTGCTCGAGAATTCCAAGTCAGTGTACAGTGGTGTTTGTGCATCAGTGATTGTGAGGTATTGTGGTTGCAGCTGCAAAGAGATAGAAGCAATGCCCTGCTCACTTGGACGTGGTGTCCTTTTCTATTTACAAGTAATCGTGGCCATTGGCGTGTCCCTACCTGTAACAAAATTTGCTGCATAGGTGTCCATCTTGTTCTTGGTGTTTAAGTGGGCTCCAGGTACTTGGGTTTGGCTTTTAGAGTTTGTCTGAAGATGAGGCCTGGCAGTTAAGACAACTGACTGCTTTTCCAGAGGAAACTGGTTCCATCCCCAGCACCCATATACAGCTCACAAATGTTTGTAACTCTAGTCTTAGGAAATCAGATGCCCTCTCTGGCATCCACAGACACAGGCATGTAGTACAGAGTCATACTATCAAACAAATAAAACTAAGTAAATAAAATAAAATCTCAAAAAAAATATTTCAAATCTTTAAAAAATGTTAAGGGAATTGAGCTTTACTTCACTTATTATTATTATTATTATTATTATTATTATTATATCATCATTATTGTAGCACTGTGCTCCATTGCTTGTATAATTAACTCTTTGCCTACTTTGTCAAAAATTTTTCTGCAAACTTTGACTACTTATTAAGTACCTATCACCCTGCTTGCAATTATAAATATAAATACACTGACCATACCGAAACACATAACAGTAAAAAGTACCTCTACCCAGGTTTCTTAGGATATCAAGGGTTATTTCACTCTGTAGATCCTGTGCTCATAGACAGTGTTCAGGAATTTTGTGTGTTTTCTACATGTTTGGTTAAATATCTTTCTTCTGTTCTGTTTGCCTTTATGTGTACATAATTTCTAATTACTATGAATTCATATAGTCTGAAATCATAATTATACAAAAATAATCCTTAATAGTTATTTCTCATTCCCTGGCGTGGAAATGTACTTCATTATATTTCTTTGCAACACATTTGACCTTTCTCGGAATTGAGCCCAGTGACTAGGAACTCCAAATTATATAGTATAGATGGATAGTGCCCAGAAAACAACTTGAGGAGCCAGGGAGTTGGCTCAGTAGGTACGACCGGCCACTGCACAGGCAAGAGGACATGAGTTTGAAGAATTGGCCAACAGCCCCCGGGAACGTCACGAAAGAGCACATTGCACATTTGCCTATAATCCCAGCACTGGGGTGTACAGAAAGGCCCATCCCAGGAGCTCATTGGTCAGCCAGCATCGCTGAAATGGCAAGCAGTAGGGTCTGTGAGGGAGCCTATCTCAAAAAGGAAGATGGGGAGTAAGAGTTGATGAAACTCAACAAATTCTTCTGGCCTTCAGCTGCATGTATATGGTTGCACACTTGCACATATGCGACACACACACACCTCGCATGCCCAAACACAAAAGTGACTATCTACTAGACGATTAGAGTAAGAAATAACTTAACATGAGCATTTGATAAAGCTGATGAGTGTTGCTAAAAGGGAAGACCAGTATATGATTTCTAAGAGTTAATCCAGTCAAGGCCGTCTTGGTTCAGCTGCATTTGCACAGTGCACCTGCAGGTGGAGCCAGTAGGCAGGGGGATAAACTTGTGCTGTTAGGCAGCACTTTGACCTTTGCTGAGTTTGAATTTTGACTCCCTTGCTTTTGGGATCCTTAAGCTGGGTGGCATCTTCTTTTCCTCTGACCATGTTCCTCCGTCCAGCTATCCAAGTAGATACTTGGACTTGATCACAAGGTGGTCTGGTCCAGTGTCGTAACCATGTTCCTCCCTCTGGCCATCCACACAGACACTGGGGCATGATATGAGGTGGTCTAGGCCAGTGTCCAAACCACGTTCCTCCCTCCAGCCATCCATGCAGACACTGGTGTCGATAGATCCAGTGTCCTAACCACGTTCTCCCTTCCAGCCGTCTGTGCAGACACTGGGGCCTGATCATGAGGTGGTCTAGTTCAGTGTCCTAATCACTTTAAAGTGATGGTCTCAATTGGTGACATCAATTTTCCTAGCACTGAGAGTACAGTCTGGTTCTACAAATCTTTTCTTGGATTCCAGCATGCCTTTCAGCTTTTCTTTAAACTACTTTACTTTCTGCTCAGTTTCTTCAGGCTTAGTTACTGAAATTTTGTTACTGATGTAAATTTTGCTGCCATTCAGCTCCTTGTCTTCCCAAGAATGCCAGCTCTCTTAACCTCTAGCTAAACCTGAAAGCATCCACTTGTCCTCTGCCACCAACCCCGAGTGAACCATCTTCCCTTTGTTGTAATACAGTTAGCCTCTGTTGCTATGCGTTTTGCTGTCCATTTGTCCCAGCTCTAGTACAGATGGACATTCTGTTTCCTGGTCTTCCAAATGTTCAACTCCCATGCCAAATCTTCTGTTATAGTAACTAAGAAATCCTCGATATTCGGAGTTTATACATTTACTTTAGTATAGTCTTATGAAAAAACTAAATTAGCAATGGTTCCCATAAATTTACAGATTCCATAGCAATTCATTCATACCAGGAGTTTATCTAGATACGTGGAATAGTCTTCCATGTGTGCCTATTTGGAGTGTGACTGACTCCCTGGTAAGGCAGTGACCACATAGAGAAAGTTGGGGTTAGACCTGGCATTTTGAGGAGGGGAAGAAATGAGGTTTACTTGGAGAAGGAAGGGATGGTGGGTGTTTCAAGAAATTGCAAGCAAATGATAGGACATAGGATGTTCTACCTAGAACATCAAGTAATTGAGGTCATTGAAGTTGGATGTGGGCAAATTGACAGCAGCTAAAGCTGGAGCCATAATAGAGGCCAGGGAGAGAGACTGTTTACTGGCAGCTTGAAAACTGAGGGTAGCCACAGGAGTACAGCAGCAATTGCCTTGAGCTATCCTCTTGCGGGGTGGGGGGGGCTCACTCTGGTAGAAACAGAGATCGGGCTGAGGCTAACTCAGGCTGAGGCTGGGATGCTCCTAGGGCAAAGTGTTCATGGACCATAGCAACATAGTTGCAGTGGAAATGAAAGCACCACTCAGTGCCTCACACTAGGCTGTGTGAAGCTTAGAAAGATGGGAGGTGGGACCACCCCTTAAACTGACAGAGCGCGGAGTCATTTACCCAAAATGCCAATTCTGGTATTCAAGGTTATTGAAGGAAGACTAATATTTTTTGTTATCATAAATCAAAAACATCTGTGTTTTTCAAAAAAATACAGTTACTTTTTATATTTTACCTACCTTATCAGTATTTTCAGTGAATATTATTTTTGAGAGATCTTGGTACTCAGGAAAGAAATAACACACTCTTCAGTTTACAAACAACCTAAATGAGGCGCTCAGCATGAGCTGTCTCTTCGGTTTCTCGTCGTGTACCAAGCTTCCCCGGGGCTGTTAATGAACAATGTGTGTAATTCTATCCTGGCAAGTGTGGTTCTTCAACATATTTTTTTTTAACTTTTATAATCATCTGAAAGATGTAAACTTGATGCCTGCTTTGCCTAGAAATTCAAATGTGCTTTTAGGCATTTGACAGTCATTGCCATGACTTGAAGTGCTCATGTCTCACAAGACAGGTTTCTTAAAACACATAATTTCTCTTAATTTTTTTCTAAGTAGCAGAATATTATAAATATATGGGTTTTCTTTGTGTAGATGCTGAGTTTGTGGTTAGGTATTACAAATAGATGTACATTTTATTGCAGGATTTTCCAAATACAAACTCTGTATTTTAGGTAGTCAAGAACCCATTCTAGCATAATTTCAATGGGGAGGGGATTCATCAAACTTTGAGTCTAAGCACCACATATGTTTAGTGACGAAATTAAGATGTAGTCATGAACTACAGTGAGGACCAGAATTTTTCTTAGATCAAGAAGAAATTGTCTAATGATTTAAGTGCGAGTATAACAGAAACACAGATCACAATATAGAGGTGATCCACACCAACCGTGTATGCTGATGGTCTGGTCCCTCATC